ATTTTAGGTTTGTCGGCAACATACGTCTCACATCTGCATCACTAATAGGGCCCGTAAGTAGGTCACGACACTTCGCGAGATCTTGCGTTGTTTAGTACTTCCGGTGACAAAAAATGGTCTCAGGGTTGTCAGTTGACAGTAAGGAACCGATACTCCTTGCAGAAATAAAAAAAAAAAATTATCCTACTGTCCCCAGATTAGCCAACTGTTACGACTGTCAACAGCTGTGACGGCAAAGCCTTGTACCGGAAGCTTGGTTGACATTGTTTGTACACTTGGTGCGGTGCGCCAGTAAAGTCATATTTGGCGGTCGCGTATGTTCAAGAGCCAGTTCTGGTTCCAAATTTATACAAACATATATATTCATTACATTATTATTTTAAAACAGAAAATGTCATAGCACCAAGTTCAAAAGCAAGAGGTTTTCAAGAAGGTCAATATCACTGTAGACCATTGGTTTGGACAATCATCTTGAATCACATAGTTGTTAGCGTTTGTTTCTAGCCGGAAATGGGGCGGTTTTTAAAGCGTTGGCTCGTCACGCCGAAGACCCGGGTTCGAATTGGGCAAATGTGAAATTTCTGGTGTCCCCGCCGTGATGTTGCGTACACGCATCAGTCTTGTTGACATGTACGAAAATCGTACACCAATCATCTTTCAAGAGCGATTACTGTGCCATAAGGAAGTACAAGTGATGATGCACTCTCAAAACATTCATTATTATCACCCGATATATCTCCCAAATTTTTCAGTCGTAAATTAGAAATGAAGTTCCCTACTTTTTTATTAGTATAGTACTGTTCACACTGAGGTTGACTCAAATCCACATACTCACTCATGTCCAAGCCATAAACACAGATATGGAGAAGGTGATTTTCTCCAGGAGATATTTGACTGTAATTACAAAATATTGACTTTCAGTTGCCCTGTTGACAGCGACACCAGCGTCGTTGCCGAGACATCTTCTGCCACGGTGTTCCACTTCAAGGCCACGGAGTTTGTAGCAGGGGTCACTTCCGTTTACCTGACCTGTGACGTCACATACTGTTTACCTGATGACAATAGTCAGGCCTGTAATCATCAGTGCAGCACGACCCCACATGGACGTAGACAGGAGGCCGATTATTCCCGAAATTCTGTCAGAATTGCACAGAAATTTGATATGTTTCTGTAAAATTGCTTCCCTAAGCACAAAACCTATAGTCTTCATCGTAATAGTCTCTCCTAAACGTGTCAAATCACAAAAAAATCTGTACTCCCGAAGTTCTGTCAGAATTTCAAAGAAATGTTATGTTTCTATTAATCTGTTTCGCCATAACACCAAAGAAACCTAGTTTTCATCATAATAGCCTCTACTAATCTTCTGTATAACGTCCCAGTCAGCAAGTGTTTTTGTCTGTTGTTGCTGCACGCGGCAATATTCAAGTTGTATCAGCCAGTCTAAGTAAACTTATGCTCAGTATTATTCGTTACACTGCTATAATGAGTCTAACAAAACCTAGTAGATGGTCGCGTCAGCTAACCTTTGAGTGACCTATGACCCTCCAATCAAACGCGAGACGGCCGAACGGATTTAACCAATCAGACAACGACTACTTGTTAGGGTTCGGCGGGACTTACAAAACAGTTTTTGGATTTTCTCTTCCCAGGTCGCTGACACTGATCTATCAATAATGAAAATCCGCATAAAACACAGATATTTGACCTGCAGTATATATGCTTATGGGTTTCTAATGTCATGGTTACTATTTGCTTACATTTTCGCAAGATTACATCCTTGAATAGTGGCAAAAACGCTATTTTCAGCGACTGTTTACTCATTGCGTGTATCACTCGGAAGCGATCGTGCGGGAAATAGCATTCGGAATCGTTCGAGGTTTTGAGGTAAAGGTTCAAACGGTATGTGCAAATGTTAACTTTCGCGATTTGGTAAGCTGTGTTCGGATTGGTCAGTCCAAAAGGCTAGCTGACGCGACCTTCTACTAGGTTATGTTAGACTCAGTATAGCAGTGTAACGAATAATACTGAGCCTAAGTTTACTCAGACTGTTGTATCAGCGGTCTGCAAATAGTCTAGTCTGGACCAGACAAGTCATCATCTCAGCAACTGGGGTTTGATAGCATGCATCAAACATGTCTGCGAGACTGTCCAAACCCCGTTCTCTCTTCGTTGTAAAAAATATATGTTTACAGTATCGTAGCTTCAAATAAAAAGATAAGAATGTTTTTGTTTGAATTTTTTATCCACCGTCGATGTTCAGGATGCAAATGGTGTTTAACACATTTTAATGCCGCTTCTTTCGACAAAGACATTTAACGTCTCATAATAACATAGGACCTATCCCCATTGACCTCTTTACGAGGGGGACACAATAAAAAAAAAAACCCCGGTATAATTGGTATTTCATGTTTTTAAAGGTTTCTTGATATCAAAGAGATAGAAACAATTAGCGCCATCGAACGAGGCTTACTGATGACCAGCCACTGTGTGTCTAACGTTCTGAGGTCTTGTGAGTGTTTTTTACACCGCTTTAAACAATCTTCCAGCATCTTCACGGTGGTGGACACCACGAACAGACTGCACACTTTGTACCCATGTTGGGAATCCAACCCGTGTCCATGGCGTGATTGACGTGACTTAGGTGGCATGTCATGGTATCCCAAATGCCGAGATCGATGCTCATGATGTCAGTCACTGGACAATCTGGTCCAGACTAAAATTTACAGTGAGTGAGTGAGTGAGTTTAGGTTTACGCCGCTCGAACCCCCCACCCCTTCTGATCCGCCACTGCTGAAGAAAGAGGCTATATTTACGCTAGTGAGTCTAAACTTTTGATGGGAAGTATATTTGTTTTTATAGCTGCTTAAGGCAACACAAGCACATGTAATAGCTGTTGAGGGCTTAATTAGTGTTGAAGAAGATATAACGTTACTTTAGAAGTTGATGGGAAAATATTTGGCTGTGTGACACCAAAAGACCGACGTCTCTTCTGGCCGTCCAGCAACACTCGGCCGGCAGGTATCCGGATGTCCGCAACCCTTTACAACTCAGTGATTCCAGCAACTCATGTTGTGCTTATTGTTTAACGTGACACTCAGTAGTACTCGAGAAATATGATGGAGGTCTGTAAATAATATGGTAAAGCATCTGCTCCTCATGGCGAAGACCTGGGTTCGATTCCCACATGGGTACAATGAGTGAAGCCCATTTCTGGTGTCACCCCGCCGTGATATTGCTGGAATATTGTTAAGAGCGGCGTAAACCTAAACTCACTCACTCACTGTAAATTTTAGTCTGGACCAGATTGTCCAGTGCTTGACATCACTGACACCATCATTTGATGCATGATCCTCGTGCAATTCATCTGCATAACGTTTTGAACTTTTACCTCGAAAATGTTTTGTACCCGAACGATAACCTTGCGGGTTTTCACTTGTGAGATCAGTGTTGGCGACCGTGGAAAATTCATCTGCATAACGTTTGCAGTTGGTTCCCCAAAGTTAGAGGAGGAATCAATCTTTGATGTAACCTCATGTATATATACATAACATATAGGGGTGTTGTATGTGGGTCTAAACTTTTGACCGGAAGTATATAAAGTGATAAGCTCAACCATTTCCTTTCAGAGTACAGGAATCTCAACAGACCAGCCCTTCAATTGTCGCTGGCTTCCTTCATAAAGCATCACGTTACACAGTACTAAATAACCAACATTCTACCCTGACTTCAGTAAGTTCTGGATTGTGATAGGTTAATAACGTCATTCGGAGGTATATAATCACGTTATATACCGGATTTTCCAACACGGTATGCATTTTTTTAAAATCTTAATAACGCGTTTTTATGTAGAATGGAGATAAACGTACTAGGTTTTAAATCAAATTTAGAGCTATTATAATTTCGATATATACCTCTGATTTTCCAACACAGTATGTTTATCTCCTAAATATGTCAGTTTTAATTACTCACAAAAAGCCTCTCACAAAACCATCGAATTACAGCTGCCAGTTGATTCAATTTGCACTGCCGGCTCTCCAAGTACTTCATACAGCACTGATTCTGATTTGGAAGACACTGGGACATGGTGCAGCCAAACCAAGGATTCGAACCTTTGATAACAGGGTCTCAACCCTTGACAAGTTCCTTTTTAATTTATAATTTTGGAGAGGATATATATATTTTCTGATTTCACTGGTGGTACAAAAACAGTTTTCACCATCAGGGCAAGAGTTGTGTTATGAGAGCGGCTGAGAACACAAGTATATACCTTTGATGTTATAAGATATCGTTTTGTACAGGGGGCAGTGTTTGCAATAATTTGCCAGTTGACCATCAGGGCCTACAGGTCCTAGATGAAATCTACAGGCCCTTTTTCAAAAGTCAAACCAATAAAAACAAAATAGGACAAGCTATTAACAGTTTCACACTGTTTCTACAAAAATCAATTAGCGAAGCCTATGGCACACATCTAGAAGTTTTTATTTGTTAAAGACTGGTGTTGACATTCCTCTGAGCAAAGCGCTGAAACACCAGGAAGTGAAACTGCAAGTTATTCTAACATGATGGATCATGGATGATTCCCGAGCGTTAAAAAGGAAAAAAATCAAGGGAAAGATTCAAGTCGAAAAAAAACCCACAAGGGGCTGCAAATATTTGAAACTGCCGGCCCCATGCAATAACAACTGGTGCTGGGTCTCCAGGCCGGCAGCGGTTATTTCGAACACTGGTGTATGTGTCACATTTCAACTTCAGACAAGTTGCCTCCCCTTTGACAATAGACACTGAGTTGGGTATGAAATATATACACATTGGTCCACTTAACTTGTTTGTTGAGTGAATGACTGACTATGGTTTTACGCCACTTTTAGCAATATTCCAGCAATATCACGGCAGGGCGACACAAGAAATGGGCTTCACACATTATATCCATGTGGGGAATCGAAATGGCTTCAACCACTAAATAACCCACTTGCTTGTTGAAAACAAAACAGAACACAAGATGACATTTTGACAATTTTATTTACTACAGTGAACCACAATAATATTCTACCATTTACCAGATGTTTTAACTAAAATAATGAAATCAACAAATCTCACATGATAAGTAGATGGCAGCTAGTACCCACCTCAAGCATGGATACTGGATGCCGTGTCTGTCAAAATTACACATAATATAGGTTACAATCTTCATTTTTTTTCTTTTTTTGAAATATCTTGCAATTTTTTTTATTATTTTTTCATTGGATTAATATAGCTTTACATGTACATTCGTGGCAGAGAAATTCAGAGGAAACCAACATAACCAAGGTACATTTTCATCAAAGTTGCAGGTTTCGGTTTTCAAATGCATAAAAGGATAAATCATTCTGAACAAATTACACAGGGAATGTTGAATACTTGGGTCCGAAGGCAAGAAAACTGAACAAATGTCTACTTTCTCCTCGTAGTTTATGTACAAAAGTCATAAAAACAAATTCACTCGCACACTATGAATGTAATCTCAATATACAAATAAACCTTCCTTCCTCTCAGTCAAAGATTAAAACTGCATTTATTTCTTGGCCTGGTCTAACAAAAACCGAAACCTGCAACTGTACAGGATAATGATTACACTGTGTGCATGGGGATCGGTACGCAGACAAATGAAGTTTGTAAAGGGTGTAAAAGTAAACAAACGAAAATGGTTTGTTCTGGCGACATTGTGCGATGCCAATAATTGATAAAATGATATGTTCTGTTGAAAGTGGTTAAGATGACAAAAAACACTCCCTAATTTGCACTGCATACAGGAGCATAGGAAGACTCCCTTGTTCGCTGCTCAATCAAGACAAATAACAGAATCTTGTTAGTTTTCTAACCCTTGAATGATCAATAATAAACTTCATGGCAAAATGGAACTTGGTTACGACTGGAAAAAAGAAGCATGGAAAAAGGAATCTAGAAGAACAAGACTACAGTTTGACACATGAACGAAAAGGGAAAAAAATCTAAATTCAGCATTCAATGCTCAAGGCCTGTTCCTCAAATGCTAATCCCCTTCGTCAGAGTCTTCCTCGATGACGTAGACCATGAACATCAGGTCTTCCACTTTAGGGACAAGGGGATCGCCAGGTGGTACCACAGAGAAACCCAGGAAACTGAACACTCGAAGCAAGTTGACTGAAAAATACAATTAATCAGTTGCAGGACTTTTCATTCATCTCCAATGTTCAAAATTATGCATGTAAGACAAGGGGTCATTGTCATAACGGACCCTGACAAACATAATGAGGGGCTCCCTAATTTCAAACACATCCTTAGTAACCGTAAGGAACAAAAACCTGTGACGATCCGGGAAAGAATTGAGAATTGGGTTGTACAACCTTCAGACTAAGGCTTTAGCATTGCAGGGAAGGCTGGGCAGTAGGGGAAATAATGTGGTTCAGGGACTGTGAGTGAGTTAGTGTGGTTTTACGCCACTTTTAGCAATATTCCAGCAATATCACAGTGAGGGACACCAAATATGGGCTTCACACTTTGTACCCATGTGGGGAATAGAGCCCCGGTCTTTGGCATGACAAGCCAAGGCTTTAACCACTAGGCTACCCCACTGCCCCCTTCAGACAAGAGAAATCTCTACATGATCCCTTCTGTGCTTGATGAAACACCATACATATAAAACTATCACTATTAGGATCCATCTTAATCAGAAAAATACAAAAAAAGAAAGAAAAATACCCCAAAAAGAATGTGCCGGCTTATATTTTCAAATATTTGTTTCCTGGTGATCATCATTCCTGTGACAACACTCACCTCTATCTGCGCGGTTCTTCTTGAAGCACAGAATGACATGGCTACACTTCAGTCGATCCTCGGCATACTCCAAAAGAGACACAAGACTGTAACAGAGATAGCAAGTTAGACACAAACCACACACTTGATTTTTTATAATTATAGCATCAGTTTATTCCACCATTTCTGTGACAAATACACATATTTTATCATTCCTTGTTGCCGAGAGAATTGAGTTAGCTCCCTTGAGCAGCAAAACGCAGTTACCTCCCTTACAACATATACTTCTCACTGTCAATGGAGGACTGCTGATATAACATTACAACCACTCCATCTCTTGCAAAACTTAAGCAGAAAACTAACAACCTAATTTCAGACACCACCACTTCTTAAAACATGATACAGTGAAAACCTGATAAGTAAAATTTCAAGTGACTCGCCAAAATTGTTTACTTATCAGGTATTTTAGTTATCCAAACTTTTCAAAACCTGCAAATGACAACCATATGCATGAATATGTATACATCAGAATAACAGACAACATTGGTAAGTAATATGACATGTTTTATTCCATAAAATTTCATTGAGTTAAGCCAGGGAGCTGGAGACTGACACGTGCCCCTCATATCGGATTATGTGGTGATCGCTAATTTAGTTATCCGGTCTCTTTTGTTAAGTAATGTACTTCCAGGGACTGTGAGAAAATGTTTAGTTAAGCGGTATTGTTTACTTATCCGAGTCTAGTTAACCGGACTCTAATAGTGATAATTAATGAAGAAATTTGCCGGGACCAAAGAAAAGTGTTTACTTATCAGGTCTGTTTAGCTAAGCAGTCTTTACTTAGGCGGTTTCCACTGTAGTAGCGAACTGTAGTAGATTTGGCAATATGGTTGAGCAAGACCAGAGTGGGCAAGTTGTGTCAGGATGTCACTAAAGCTAAACGACTGAATTCATCTTGGGGACAGCTGGATGTCACAGTGGTATCTGATGCTGTAATACTTTTATACCTATAACAACCACAACTGATCATGCAGTACTTCTGACAAAAATCATTTCCATTTAAGAGTCAAATGGGAACAACCCATCCATATGGTAACAATAAGGGATCGTTCATAATTTATGTATGGGGGGGTGATGATGATTTTTATGGAGAACCATGTACAATGTGAATGCCCCCCACCCCAAAAATAATAATTTTTTTTTTATAAATTTATGTACACAGTGACCCACAATACTCCTACCCCACCCCTCTGTCATGTCAGTACAAAATAAAAATGCCTTAACATATAAAACTGTCGCAAACAAGTGATTCAGAAGAGTGAGTGAGTGAGGTTTTACGCCACTTTTAGCAATATTCCAACAATATCACGGCGGGGGACACCAGAAATGGGCTTCACACATTGTACCCATGTGGGGAATCGAACACAGGTCTTATGCATGACAAGCCAACACCTTAACCATTAGGCTTCCCCACCACCCCTGATTCAGAAGCATTAATATAATGTCTACGCCTGGGACAATTCACAGATGCACCGATACATCACGATACATTTAATTTTGATACAGCTATCATATCGTCGACTGGTGTATCGATACAAAACGATACACGACTTTCTTTCAAAACAGTATTATCTTAAACATGTTAACGTACTTATTTAGAGAAAAGAATACGCAAGTATTATGGAGTTACTTGTTTGTTTACTACAATAGTGTTATTGTTATACACAAATACCTTGAAATAAATCATTTTAAATCTTAATACTGTGTCATTCTTTCAAAGTGTATGTATCGTGATACATAGCGTAGGTAAAATATCAGGATATGTATCGTATCGTGACTTAGTGTATCGTCCCAGCCCTAATAATGTGTCAGTTAAAGATGGCTGGGTGATGGCTATACTGACCTCTCCTTGGATCCCTCAGGAAGTATGCCGCAAGGTAGCTCTACGTACAACTTGCCGTCCAGCAAAACAGTTTCCCAGGTCACCTCCAAACATTCCACAGGACGAATTTTGAAACACAGGTTGGCTGCAACCTGCGTTTGATGTGCCAAGGAGTTCACGTTGGTAGTGAACAGGCCTTTAGCATTGACAGGGGGCTGTGCTAAAACCCCCACGCCGCTGCCCTCTGCCACGAAGGACATTTTGGATGCATCAACGGCGTGGGGAACATCAGGAGTACCACAGAGGCCCAGGACCCAGCGATATACAATACCGCTGATTCGACATCCTGAAACACAAAACTCTTATTGAGGAGGGTGACAATATGTGGGTTTAAAAGAACATATACTGTGACAATTTGGGGACCAAATGTGACTACTCAGTCCAGTGGAATCCTGCTTGTCTTGACACCTTGCCTACCACACAATATTTACATAAAACGTAAATTATACTTCATAAAATACATCATTTGTCCGGAAATCTAGTTTCCAGATCTGGACAGTACATGTCAAACAGACACTGTGTCTATCTTACAGCACAGTATCCGCGCTTGCCAGCACCTGGCATCCCCCATCAGAGGGACGGTTATCAGGATATCGCAGTGTTAACAGAATCCTAATATTACACATACTGGTTAAACACAGTATTCATTGAATGATAAACAAATTCATTTATTGGAGGAAAATAAGCAAGGCATGTTGACATGTGTAACCTAGAAGTGATATTAAAGTCATATTCAGGAGTGATTGAGTTAAGTTTTACGCTGCACGAAGCAATACTAGTATTCTGATATGAGAGTGGGTTTGAGTGAAAAACGAGGAAAATGAGCCGGGGATCTTGGGGGCCGCAAATTCTGATCTCTGAATATTCCAGCTATAGTGGTCTGTAAATAATCAAGTCTGGACCAAGTCTGGCATAAGCATCAATCTACACAATAGGGATAGAATGACATGTGTCAAACAAGTCAGCGAGCCTGACCACCTGATCCCCGATAGTCGCCTCTTACGACAAGCATGGGTTACTGAAGACCAATTCTAGCACAGATCTTCACGGTTGGAGGAATCAAGAGCATGTGTATGATGGAAACAAACTGAGGAACACAATCAGGACAAATCTCAGATTTAAACCCATCTATGTCCTCTTTTAATCATACTAGACAGCATTTTTTAAAGTGTTCAAAATTAAGTGTTAAAATACAATTCCTTAACATAGTAAAAACTACAATCAATACAGGATCTAAGGTTACATTCAAACAAAAATTAGCTGATCCAGAGAAGTGTACATACACTAAAATCTCCCAAACTTACACATTCAGATAAAACATTCCCGATGACAATGCAGCTTGATTAAACAGCAGAATGATAATTATATCATGTATAGTCTGGATCCTTGAAATGTATTTTGCCTCCTTAGTTGTCCAAAACAATAACCCAATGACTCTGTACAACCTTAATTACAAAGACTCAGAGGCAAGACACCACAAGCTTTTTACCTGTCCTTTAGCATTTCACGTCTTGCCAAGGCCAATGCAAAACACCATGCATGGTGAACACACAATCTCCAGGCCAAAGACCCAAGACATTGTTACTATATAATATTTCCTGATATAACCTGATTGTTCTAATTAGCCCATTACGACAGGAAGAGGTCATGACCTTGCCACATGCACAACAACAAGGACCAGAATTCCTGCCAAGCAGCTACTTGGTGAATTAGGTTTAACCCAGCTTTGTTTACGCATTACGCAAACCACAAATATGGTGACTGATCACCAATAATCCCCTGACATTGGCACACAAGCTAAAAACTTTTCCTTGGTCATTTCTGACCACTGCCAGGACTTATGGAACTATACCCCTTGACCTAAATTCTCTGAAACTCTGCTACCTCTTAAACATCACCTCATTACTCAGTGCTAGGATTCCTACACATCAGAGTCAGTTTTTACTGTACAAATATATGCCGTTATATGATTCCATGGTACTTACTTTTCCGTGGTATTTTCTAATGACATAATTTCTCACGAGCCACTCGCCAAATGGCGCCACCTATCGATTGTTTACGTTCATCAGTTGATCGGCACGGGTCTGAACAAAAAATGTTCAGACTTTCATCAATTTGCGTAGGTACAGTCATCTACTATTAAAAACTAATGCAACTTTATGTCTAGCATGTAATGCATTTTTTGCGCGATCTTTGCAAACATATTCTATAAACTTACTCAGCTTCAAAGTTTTCCAAACATCGCTCGCCTGCTAGCTGATGTCATCAATAAAAACAATCACGTGACCTAAGGGGGGAATGCCAGCTCTATTTTTTAAACTATAGAAGCCCGATAGGGTCATCTCTTAAGTTGTTTTTTTCACTTTTCATTTCATGTATCCCGTATCAACTCTACATATTCTATGAACTGGAAATTTATGCTGAAGAAATGTGACTATTGTGTAAATTCTACAAAATCGTTTACTGTATTACAATTTATCAACTTCGATATTACTGTAAACCTACATTGACACTCCCGGATTGGCTGTTGACAATGTGTGAGATTGCGACATGTGCTGTGCGCCCTTACAGTGTTCACGAATCGTGTTTCAAAGGAACAGGACATTGGGTCCTGTAAGTTTCAGATGTCTGTCTGACCCATTGAAAATTCACAGGACCCATAGAATAAAATTAAACACACATTTCAGATTTAGCATTTTTTTATAATTGGCACTGAAATTATAAACAAACATAAGATTTATAAACAGCAAACAGGTGTCACATGTCCCATATAACAACTTCAGTCAAAGTAAAGTCATTGTGAAATATACAGTCAGACACTGGGGCCGGCGGGTTGTAGACTTCTATTGGACTGTTGGCAAATCTGCCGGATTTGTCAGAGGGTCAGACGCTATTCGTGAACACTGAATGATGTAACATTTAGCGAGAGCTACTTAAGTTGTTAAAACTTAATAATTTTCTTGTGAGTACAATGTTTAAATCATATTTCACAAAATCTGACTTGCATAAAAAAAAGTTCTAAAAAGCATACCATTGGTAATTACATTTATTTTAGATGACAAAAAGATTTACCTTGATGTGCCAAATCTGCAGTGAATGGCAGGAGAAATTGCCAAAAGGGAATTACTTATGTCCCTATTCACGTCAATAGATAAAACTAAATGAAAGTTTCGTCATGTTGACATGAATTTTACATATATTGTGGAAGAGTTTTGAAGGGGTAATTGTTTATTACTGAATTGAATTAATTTGCACAATGTTAAAATGCCTTTGAAAAGTAACTTTCAAAATATGACAAAATATATTTCATCCTTTTTCTAATTAGTCTACCAACACAGCCAAGGGCACCTTGTTTGGAATCCTGAAAAATCCTTGGGAATACCAGTTTGTGACAATTAAGAATAATAGAGTACAGAAAAACATGTTATTACTGCCTTAATGAAATACGGACTGCTATCCAATTCTCACCTGGCCGTTTGCCAGCCACGGAGCTAACTACCTCAATGTCTATCACATGAGTAAATAGTGATAATGTATGCCTATTATCACGTCCCAACAGTCGGAGGACGATTTCTCCAATCAATAATCACAATGTCCACCAACATCACTGCATGTACACAACTCCACACTGGAATGTACTGGCTGACATTGATTTCTGTAGAAGCAAGTACTTGTCGAGCAGGGCTTTTAATCCCAGAAGCCAAAAACGCAAGCTTTATGTGAAGTCAAAATATTCAGTAAGGCCTTGACAAATTAGTCAAGAGTTTTTGTCCCGATTACCAAAATAAACCTTGTTTCAATTCATTTAAAATTGAATAGAAAAACCCACATAATTTCTTGTTGTGTTGTCAGCTGATACTATAAACATAATTTCTTGGAAAACTGAATTACAAAGCCTTTAGGGGTAAATTGTCTTTATCAAAATAACTTATAGCTTTACATATTGTATCAAACATTGTACTAGACAAACGTTTAGTCTCTGAGTTTACATAATTTTTAGAGAGACGTATAATTCCTTTTAAATTGAAAAGGAGTCTGTGAAGGGTGGGTGAGTGAGTGAGTGAGTTTTACACTGCTTTAGCAATATTCTAGCAATATCATGGTGGGGGACCCTAGAAATGGGCTTCACACATTGTGCCCATGTGGGGAATCGAACCAGGGCCTTCAGTATCACGATCGAACGTTTTACAAGATTACAATAACCTTGCCGAATGATGTCCCGTTCACACATGTCAACAAGGAAGTTTGTACTCATACGACATTGTGATTCTAATGTGAAGCACTTTCATAACATTAGTCATTTTAGTCACAACAGCTGTTACATAGTGTTAACAAAGCATATAGTGGAAGCTGCTTGTTAAATCAGTCAAAACACATGTATTTCCTCAAATAAGCACCGGGCACTTATTTTTTCAAAAGACTTCCAGACCCCACGCTTATTAGAGGCCCAGCGCTTTTGCGCTTACTGGGTGTCATTACCATAATTGTTAGTGAGCTGATTTACCGCATGCGCTTATGAGAGGCCCTTGATAGAGGAAATACGGTATTCAGTTTTCCACAAACATCAATAAAAACATAAAAGCCTGATAACAGACAAGGTGCAGTCCTGTTACAAAGCACAAAGCTGACCTGGTTAGATGTCAGTGTACTGTAGAGCATGTGATGTTGCAGCGTTTTGCTTTCATGTTCAAATTGTTACGTTCATGAAGGATATAAAAAAGAATTAGCTTAAACTACATTCCTATCAGTAGAGAGTGTACACAAAGATATATATATTTTAAAGTGTGTCAACAAGAAAAAAATAATAGCTTTCAATCAAGGAAAATACCCTGAGGCTGCCTGAGAACCACTGAGGCTGCATCAGACCACGGAGGTGGTGTGATAACCCCAGAGGAGACATGAGACGGCAGGGGAGGTGTGAGAGTTCCCAAGGAGACATGAGACGGCAGGGGAGATGTGAGAACTCCAGAGGAGACATGAGACGGCAGGGGAGGTGTGAGAACTCCCAAGGAGACATGAGACGGCAGGGGAGATGTGAGAACTCACAAGGAGACATGAGACGGCAGGGGAGATGTTAGAACTCCCAAGGAGACATGAGACGGCAGGGGAGGTGTGAGAACTCCCAAGGAGACATGAGACGAGGTGACAGGGGAGATGGGAGAACTCCCAAGGAGACATGAGGCGGCGGGGAGGTGTGAGAACAGGGAGATGGGAGAACTCCCAAGGAGACATGAGACGGCAGGGGAGGTGTGAGAACTCACAAGGAGACATGAGAGATGGGAGATG